GGCTTGAAAACACACAAAAATGTCTGATCAGAAGCGGGGGGAGAGACTTCCTATTAGGGTGGAGTGTTTACTTTGCTCTGTGATGTGTTTTTCCAGTGTTCTTTGTTTCTTCAAAGCTCTCTATGCAGTCATTTAAGAAACCCAAAGCTTGTCAGCCTTGTTAAAGACAAGTCCTGGGAGTGTTTTTCAAGCCACCTCTGATTCATCCAGCCAGTTCTTTCTCTGATATCTACTATACATGTAAACAGTTGATTTTTTTTTGAGTTCCACATTTTATGCTAAAACCCTGCTCCTGCATGTACTTGGAGCTTATGTTTTATAGTGAAAAGGTTTCTTCAGCAGCAGTGGGGTATATTTGTGCTCTGTTTGTCCAAACAAGATACTTTCTGCTCAGGACATTTTCTTAAACTGCTTTTGGCTTTGCTATGTGACGACCTTGGACTATAGCTAATTTAAGGATGAATTTAGTTATATTCCCATTGAAAGAGTCTGTACAGGCCTGCTGCAGGCAAAGCTTTGAATGGTGGAAGCACCAGCACCCAGGGAGCAGCTTTGTGCCATTTTCCATTGCATCAAGTGATGATGCCTTCATAGGGCATCCAGGAATTACATCCCAGTCCCTCTATTCTCTAGGTTACCAATTAACCCCAAAGAGGTTGTGGCTGAAGCCTACAGACCCTGTCCTCATGCTGTCACCTCTTTACCTCCCTGTCTCGAATTCTTCCTTGATAGGATCGTTTCCAGGATGCATTAGAGGGCATGGGGTAGATCTGCTTTCCAAAAGGACTGAAACCAGCTGCTGTGTGTGTGTACCACAGACAACAGGACATCAGCAGGGATCAGGCTGTTGTTTTAGCTAAGCAAAAGATTCAGTCAGCTTGTTGAGCAAAAACCCTCCAGGAAATGTAAACTCCAGCATTCTGGATCAGCTGATCCTGGCTGCTGACATCCCCTTGATCTTCACAGGTACCACTTATTGTTTTGGGCTTGCCCCAACACTGGGTGAGGTTAGAGGGGCAGGTGATACTTGGCTCCAAGGTCCCCTGGATGTGGCAGGAGGCAGTGAGCGTGGTTATTTCCCAAACCTGGAGGCACACCAGTCATTCAGAGCCTGCCACTTCCAATCATTTTTCCAGTCAAACTGAAAATCCAGAATGAAAGCAGCTATTCCCCCTCTGAAACTGGACAAGAGACAGTGAGTTTGCTAAAAGGAAACACATTTCTATGTTAATGTATCTCCTCCAAGACTGATAGTGCACCTCAGTGTGCAGAACTGCTTAGACAAAGCTGCCATAGGCTGTGGGAGGAAGTTATTGTTCCACAATTCCTACAAGAAAGGTGCTTTGTGGATAAAATGCTCCCCAGGAGCAAGGACAATACAGGTGCATGGTCTCTTCTGGCTCTACACACAGCTCCTGCAGGTATGTCCTAAATACTGGAGAACTTGCTTAATGCTGGGTGTACACAACTTGCCTGCAGCCTTAAGTGGTTCTCAGTCAAGGTTTTTAAGAGCAGCCCAAGTCCTGTTGACTCTGCAAGAGCCAGAGCCTGCTGGAGTTCATACAGCAAAAAGGGGAGGGATGACCCCATCCCTGCTGTCAGCTAAATCATATGACTGGTCCTGCTAAAGCCATACTGAGCCCTCAAGCCACTGCTGCAAATTCTACCTGCTTTCCCCATCTTGCTTCAAGATCATAATCTTTGTTGCCTCTTTGTTCTCCTAACTGCAGGGGTGCTTGGATCTTACCTGTGGGCACTGTTCAGGCTGAGATTAACATGGTGATGGAGGAAAGAAAACCTGGGAGAGGCTTAAGCAGTGCCCAGTTCTTTTTCTGACCCTTGATTTCCCCCACCTGATAAGAGCTTCCTCAGAAAGCTCACAAACAGCAGCTGGTTATACAGTAATGGAGATTAAGAAAAAGGAATTTGCTGGAGATCTCCATGCTCTGGGAAGCCTCTTGTTAAAAGCTTGTTTTTCACTTTGCTATCGTGGTTTACTTGAGTTATTCCAGCCTCAAGGAAGGAGCAGGTCTGCTGCAAACTTGCAGGTCATTCATTTCCAAGCCATGCTGGAAGGTGCAAACATGTGCATGTTTGCCTTGGTGGTTTACTGACAACAAATATTTGTTTGGAATATGTTTTGAAAAGCAGAGCCCAGGAATTGGCTTGGAGCTTCTCATCACACCAATCTGTGGTGAGGTGTTAGGGAGACTTTAAGGCTGTGTGAGACCTGCCTAACAGGCCATGGCAGTCATTCCCAGCCTGAGATTTACAGGATGATAACAGGTTCAGAGGGTTATTTTTATTTTTTTTTCTGTCAGCTGTATGCTAATACTTCAGTAAAACTTACCTCCTCCAGTTACTCAGAAATTTTGCAGCCTCTGGGTTGGGGAATGTTTGAGCATGTTCCCCTCCAAGGTTTGCTGTGCAATAGCTCATCCCATGCAGGTGATGCTAATAGCACTCAAATCAGTGCCACTCTCCTCTGGGCTTTGCTAAATTAAGATAAACCACCTCTGAGATGCAAAGTTTTAACTTGTGAACATATTGCTGAATAGTTTTTATTGTGCATTTTGCCTGGGGAAATAGTGTGAAGTCTAGTCCTGGTGAAGTTTTAACTTAGGCTGTCGTGTTCTGCCTTCCTTGAACCTGGTGGCTTTTATTTCTTCTGTGCAGAGCTGGTGAACAGCTTTGTCTTGCTGCAGAGATGTCTGCATTTCATGAGAAATCTTTCCTGCACACTCACTTCTGCAAATACATAAACTGGTGACTAATTTTAAATAAATGAATAATCTCACTGAGTTGGAAATAGTCTGAATAAAAGTCCTCAGGGTTTTCCTAGGATTTGAATGTGTTCCACGTGTAAAGGTTTTTGGGAAGAATGTCTTTGTATAAAATACAATTCTAAATGTTTGTTTGTAGTTACACAAATCTGTGTTCCTTCAGAGTTAGAGGAATACCTTCAATTTGTAGCCTAAAGAGTGAAAGTGATTTATTGTAGGGAGTTTCAGATATCCTATTTTCTATGTCAATTTTTATGCTGTTACAGTTTCTCATGGTTAAAACACTGTTTTTCCTCCTTGTTGCTAAGAGAAAAACACAAACAGAAAAGCAAACTAAATACACTCAGATTAACTATTCATAAAAAAACCCCTTTTATTTGGTCTTCCACTTAATGTCTCTTTCTCTTAATTTTTCTATTTGCAATACACACATTTCACAAAACACTAATAAGCTTTTTTTAGCAGGACCATAATTAAGAGCATGCACTTTAAGACAATGAAAAATTTGGTTTGTAGAATTTAATATGTGCCTCAGAAAATGGTGTAGCTGTGGAGTTGTGCAGCTTTCATGTCAACTCTGTATGTTCAAAACCATATCCCAGGTTCTATTATTTGATCTTGGTTGCTATTTTACCTATGACAGTGTGGAATTTATACATATCCCCAATGCTGGTCTGATCAATGTCATTATAAATAAACATAAGTAAAAGGTTTGGGTTTTTTTGTTTTATTTGTATTGTGCATTTCAGACTTAAAATAAGACACCCCACTGGCTTTAGTTACTCTGCAAACTGCGGTTTTTCAGCTAGACAGTGGTGAAGGCTTGGAGGGAATGTTGTGTATCCACAGTTTTATCTGGAGTTTGTGGGATTCAGTGTTAGATCTTGGCTTTTCATGTGGAAATACCTGCTGCTTTGAAATTCCTATGCCTTTAAAAAACAAAAGCCTTAAAACCATGAAACCCTAAAAATTTGGTCTTAGGGCATCTTCAAGAAAATGCTGTAAAATCATTGTAAAAATTATGTATAAAAGCAATAAATTCTTTCCCCAGATGTGCTGTGATGGACATTATGGATTTATGACAATACACATTCCAAACTGGCAATTTGGATTCACCTGGTTTTTGTTCAGATCAGGTAACTAAAATGAAGCATTTGAAGAACGTATTTTTCAGCTTTTCTCTTCTGAAAATCATTGATTTCCTGCCAGAAAAAAAGCACTTTGGGAAAATAGAAATCAAAATAACTGTACTTGCTGTGCTATGGCACAATAACTATAACCATGCAGGTCTCAGCCATTCTTGTTACTTCTGTGTGTGTCAAATATCCATAATTCTCTGCTTTTAACCAATGATTTAAATAAAAAAGGGAGTATCTATTTGTATGATCTAGAAGATAATCTTATTTCTATTTCTCAGATGAGATGATTTACACTTTGCACAGAATTATTTTCTAGCTCCTGGGTGATCATCAATATGAGGACTCTTTTTCTTTTCTGAGGGATAAACTATATTTTTGGAGCAAAGCATCCCCCAGTACAAAACCTCACTACAAACATACATATTTTGATGAAAAGCTTATCCCAAATGACCTCAGTTAAGGTTCTGCTTTAGAAGCTTATAACAAGATCTATATCAGAATGGACAATCCTGTAGATGAGCCCAGTGTTTTGGGCACAGCAAAGTAGAGCAGGGATCTGAATAAAGATTTCAAATATCACTCAATGCCTTATCCACTGAACCAAAGCAAGCAAAAATGCTTATTATAGCCTTTTTGGTAAAACATTCCTTCAGTCCTGGCTGCTGCTCTCTGCCAAAACTTCTCATCCGGGTTTAGTCATCACTTATGACTGTAAGACTAACATTTATCTAAACACTTATGTAAAGCCTTGTACTATTGCTTTGGTATGAAGCAAAGTACATGAATTCTGATTGTCTTTGTTAGGAAAAAGTGTGATCCTCATAAAGAGCTAGAAACATTTTAAATGAGATTTTTGGGTTTTTCCTATTTTCCTGTGCAGCTGTGAGAAAGTTGCTGATGGAAGGGAACCCTCACACCACTTCCAGCCTCTCCTAGACCTGTCTCTTCAAATACAACCAGCTCCTGCCACCCTGCTGCTTCCAGGGCTGCACCTCGACCTGGACATCTCTCCTGAGATCCTCCCTTTTGTCATGTCTTACAAGCCTTCAAGTGACAGTGTCTGAGACCTTGTGCTGTTTCTCATCTTTATTTCATAGATCAGGGTGTTCCTTCCTTGGCTTGTCATTAAATATGATTCCAGCTGTTACAGGCATTTCTCCAGCTCCAAGCACTTGCAGAATAGTCTGTGTATTCCATAAGAAGTCCAAAGACACAGTGGGTCCAGTCTTCCTACTGTTGTTATGTAAGGAGCAAAATAGAAAAATATCAATAATGATGTTGTCTTGTTTTTTAGACCATGTTCCAGAGGGTTTTGATTTCTATCCAGCTATGGTCAAATAATCCCTTGTTCTTGCAGATGAGCAGTGAATTTCCAGTAGGGATGATCTTAGGAGACTGGTAAATCCACACGTAGTTTCATCTGTTCCACACATTTCTCCTTGCTTTCTGCCAGCCAGTGTTTCTCTTGAACACTTGGATTTTCTGTAGAAAGCCATCCTTGTCCCATTCCTAAGCTTCTTGTTTTTCTTTCCCAATCTCCAAATGTTTCTCTTTAGATATCATACACTGTCTCTTTTATCAGGTGCTTAAATCATAAAATAAAGCTCTGTTCTAAAACACTGTATTATTATCAATTAATCAAATTGCTGATGTCTGATCACTCTTTAAATGTGAGTTTTGAATATTTCTCAACATATGTGGAGCAACTTACATGTAAACTGTAACCTCCTGCTCAGAGGATACTTGGGAGTTCCCTGCTATGGTGAGCTTTTTGTAAGTGGTTCAAGCTGAGGAAAAGCTGCTGCTGATGCTAAAGATCAGATTTTTAAATTTCCAGGCTAATCAAACATGAAGCTGCTTCTGTGCATACTTGGGGACAGTTGAAATGTTTCATCCTGGATGCCCATCTGCCTTTCGATTCAGTATCTATCTGCCTTTTATTTTTTGAATGCTCTTAAAAACACTTGGCTTCTCCTAAATATGAAGATCAGTTCCATCCTGTGATCACTGGTATGGGTATGTCAAAAAATTAGTGTCCCCTTAACTAATAGCTAAATAATCAAACTTCAAGAGGGATGGTTTGGTGGGTCTACGTCCCTGGGGCATCTACTGGGTTATTTCCCTGTCCTCCCTTTGCACTCTTAGCTGAGCTGGCTCCAAATCTTCTGCACTTCATTTCTTTTATTAATATTTGTGGTGCTCATATATACTTAACCAGCATATTACAGGCAAGACTCCTTTTTCTGTAGCACTCATGGTAGACAAATTATGCCATATTCAGATCCTGTAGTCTTTATTTACAGCACTTCTGTACCAATAAATCCCTGTGTGATGCTTAACTCTGAATTAAGGAGAAAATTAGCATTCCTTTTCAGTAGATGCTGTCAGAGTGGCTGCTGAGTTGTATTTCATGCAGAGAAAGCTGGCAGTGGCTGGGTGGGCTGAACAGCTCTGTTCTGCTCTGCTGCCTGGGGCATGGAAAAGGAGCAGTGCAGGGTTGGACCCCTCCCACACCATCCTGGCACAGACAGCTTAGTATTTGACAGTAAATTGTACCAGGTGTTGATAAAACAGGCTGAGGATGGCAGAGACTTTGCACCAGTCTGTCAGCTCTGCCTTGGGCATCTCTAAATGCGCTGACAGCCATGACTTTCTTTCTTTGGGTTAAGCTGTTCCTAAATGTTTGGATTTGCAGGGATACCATCCAGCTGTTGCCTACCCCCTTGTCTTGCAGAGCAGCATGTCTCTCCTCACAATGTTCTTTTTCAACAAGATATCAACAGTCTGAGTGCAAGAAAAGAGGAGATGTTCCAGATTCCCCCATTTCTGAGAACTGTTGCGGTACACACTTGCATAACACGGGTACATTCAAAATCTATAGGGTATTGTCTGAATCTGGGAGGGGGAGAGATCCACATGACATAGGATGATCTCATCTGGCTGTCAGGATCATGTTTCTTCCTACCCATCTGCTTGCAAAGCCCTTGGGTTAAGAATTATCAAAAAAACCCCCAAAAAACCCAACTGCAGAGTGCCCAAGATATGAACTGGTTTCATATGTGACAAAGCAATCACTAGGAAAAAAACCAAATAAAATACTTTAAAGACAGAGCTAGAGTCTCTGAAACCACATCAATATTTTGGGAGAAGTTTCCAGGCTGGCATCAGCACTCAATACTTTTGATTTCAGTTGTGATAAGATGTGGCTGCGAGGTCAGAGTTCACTTTGACTGTTCTTAGTAATGTCAAATGTCACAGACTGCAGTACCAGCCTAAAGCCTAAAGTACCAGCTTGGGATTTTAGCTCTCCTTGGTTTTCAGTTTTTGAGCTGAATTCTCCTTTTTCAGAAAAAACAGACAAGCAGCTAAAGCCTCAAGACTTTGATTGCTAGGTGAGATGGATTTGGAATAAAACTTACTTGGGAAATCCTGATGTCTCCAATTCAAATGTCAGAATAAAGGACTTCAGCAGGGTGAAACTTCCTGACACATCCCTCCAGAGCGGGTGTACTTTGTGTAACAACAAAATAAACCAACAAAATTCTAAAAAAGGTCCAGTTATCCAAGAGAACAGTAAGAGAATAAAATTATTTAGTGCTCAGTTCTACCTGTATTTTAAACAGAAGGCTGTTCCTTCTGAGGTAAAAGATGCTGTAGCAGGTGAAAGTGATTTTCTCATGTGGTAGAGGATGCAGACAGTATTTTGAATCTGAAAAAAATACATAATAGTGCCATCAGTTAGCTTAACTCTGAACTGAGGAATTTAATCTCACCTTGCTTTAGCCTATGTCCAAATACGAGTGCTCCCAATTTAAAATGGGAAAGGAAGCTATTGCATCGTATTGGATATACTGAGGAGTGTTGTGGGGTCACATTTCCTTGAGAAATCCAGAAAGATGTGGAGCAAAACAGCTTTGGAGAGTCAGGGCTTAGCTGAATTCATCCACTTCTTTTGGCTTCTATTGCTGGAATTTCACTGCTTGCTAGAAGAAGCAAGTTGTTGTTTTCCACAACAGGGATGAGAACAAACATACTTAGCAGTAAAAATCTTAACCCTTAACAATGCTTGGTTTATTTTAATACCTCTTTCTTCCATCTTGGTTAGAAATAAAACATTTTTTACCCCATAATTCCAGCAGGATAAATTGCTCTACTTGTCCTTCCCAAATATTTATTGATCTAAAAGTAAGAACTTAAGGATAATTTTCAAGAGAATACGTGAACTGCTCATGTAGCTCATATTTGACAAATTAATCAAATCTCTACTTCTAATTACTTCCAAGGTTTATAATGAAGCTTCACATAACACTTGAGAAATGCAAGGACTGACAAGTGGATATTTTTCCGTGTCCAGCTGCTTTGCTGCCTCACAAGAGCTGTTGGATGAAGTGAGGGACAATGTGTGTGTCTCAGTAGGACCTGATTGAGCTGTCACAAATGCTCATTAAATCAGAAGGTGGAGAATAATACACAACGAATAACTGGTGTTTGAAACTATTCAAGTTCCATCATTACTTTATATATATATATAAAAACTTGATAACCACTGTGAGACTGGTGATTAATTTCTATGACAGCAATTCTGTGCCCAAAAGGGAGGAAAGGGATATCTGTTGTATTAAATAAAGAGGGGGACAGAAGTGTTGCCCTGGTGCAAATGCCCCCCTCTGTTGCAGTGCTAAGGTACCACTGTAGCTAATGAAACCTCTATGTTTTATATTTTTTTTAAAGGTCAGCTTTTTTTGAGAAATCACTTAGTGGTGTCTTGAAGGGGGATTTTTAGAGCTGTAATACTCTGACTGGAACTGAATTCAGGCACAGAAAAAACAAAGAAACCAAAACCCAATCAGTACCAAAAACTTGGTATTGTGAAAGCATTGAAAAGCACCGAATGATTCAGAACTTGGGTTGAAATGAGCTCAAATCTTTTGGCTGGATATTCTCAGCCTACATCTCTTCCCTGTGATGACATTCTGTTTCCAGTTCCATCTGTGTCTGGAGCCCTTTCCTTTGAAAGATATCCTTCACTTGAAGAATGAGGTGTCATAATCCATGGCTCTTCCAGCAAAACATTGAGGCTGCAGCACTGCAGATTGCAGCTTGGAATCTGAGATACCTCGGGACACCTCAAGCCTCAGATACACTTAGATCTGTTAAATGTCTCACAAAGTGCAGGGATGATCTTGTTTAAATGGGAGCAATGCACAGTTTGAGCACATCTAGTGGATTGCTCTACAGGAGAGAATATTCTGGATGTTGGTGATACAGAAAACATAAAAATTAAGAACTTCAATCTATCTTTTGGCCATTTCAAACCTGCTAAAGCATCCTAATTCTGGTTGCTACTGGCATTTTTTACCATGTAACAGTGGCAGGGAGTTAGCTTCCTTTAATGTGGAGAATGTTGTCAGAATGCTGGATGTTTTGTGGACACCAATTTGGGAGCAGACAAACCCTGTGTGGACAGAGAAGGCAGAGGGTGCTGGAATATTTTCTGTTCTCATCCCCACGTTTTCATGAGGTAAGGGGCAGGTTGGTTTCCCCTAGATGCTGTGGGCATTTACTCCAGTGGTCTTGGCAGGTATGTGAATAGCTTACAGGTCTTGGGGAAATTTTACCTGGTTGAATATTATGCATTTTCTCCTTGAGGTGAATTGTGGATTAATTACAGAAGTGTAAATCAGCCCACATGGTTGTGGTCCCACTCATTTGAGGCATGAGCCAACTCTTGCAAATGCTCATGGTGATGCCGGGAATGTCCTGCTTCCCTTCCCATGAATGACACCACCTTCTGTGGAAGGAGGAGGGCTGCTGGGGCATGGAAAACCAACTGAAGTCTCCCTTTTTGACGGTATCAGAAAGATTACAGGATTGATGTGCTAATTTGTTGCCTTTGACTGAAAGATTGTGGTATCCTGATTGGCGGCACTAATTTTAAAGTGTTTTGTTTCCTACATTTCTGCCAATTTGGGAATATTAAGCAATTTCTACTTGCTTTTAAAATCTTTTTTTATAGGTCTGGTGTTTGCTAGGCTGAGTGAAACAATGATCAATTTGGTCTCCTAAAAATGAGTATTAGCTTTTAGGAAAACAATTTATTGTTTTCCCCATAACAGCACTTCCCTTTCATTTCTGTTTGTTTCTCTTTCCTAGCTCCTCTGAAGTTCAGAGGTTTTGTAGTGCCAACTGAGGGTCATTTGGGAAACTCTTGACAGAGTTAGAGGTAGGAGTTGAATATTTCTATCTCTGATTAAATAAATTTCTCTAATTTTTCTTTAATGAGAATATCTCTTTGTTTGTTTCTTTGTTCCCATCTGGGAGAGATTTTTGAGCAGTGACGCTCTAAGAATGTATGGCTGAATTATCTTCTGCTGCTGCTCTGATTTCAGTGGAGTTGGGCCAGCAGAGACTTTGGCCCAGTGTTTGTCTACATTTCCCAGAAATGCTTTTCTGAGCAGATTTGCATTGTCTTCCAGAAAAACCCTAACTCCATTTTGTGCGTTAATTCAGGCAAGTTTGTAAATGCAAGAACCACATGGCAAAGTGTAACATGGGAGTGAAGGCTTTGTGTTGTATAGTGCATGAAACAGTCAGCAGTAACCTTCTATCCTCAGAAAACTGAGATACAAGGATCTGGTCTTGTTTGCTACCTCAACATCTCTTTATCCCCTGCAACTTTTTGAGTGCATAACCCAGCTTCTTACCTGTCCCAGGACTAAATCAAGTAGTTGCCCACTTGGATTTAGCTTAGATTTAAACCTGGTTTGTGGGCAGGTGCTCACTTTGCCGTAGCTCACTTCAGCTCAGCTATGAGAGACTTGTACATGCATTATAAAAATTCCATCATGGAATGAGAAGGCTGAAAATCTGATGCCCACTGCCTCATTTATTCTTACTGGTATAAGTGATTTCAGGGCACTTCTTGGAAATGTAATAATCTATTATGGGCAATTTGGAGGGGTCTTTGTTCAAATCTGCCTTAAAAGGTCAGCTGGGAGGGGCTTGCATGATTATTTGCTGCTGTTGGACACTTGTAGAGCGAAGGAGTCTTGCCACGCTTTAACCGTGAGTGCTAGGAAATCTGTTGGGTATAAACATTTGTGATCCTTCATAGTAAAGTTGTGTAACTCACCAAGCACTCTGTCAAGCGAGATGAGCCAAACTGGGATGCCAGGCCCATGTTACTGCATTTTCCTTGGACCAGTGCTCTTTATTAGTCCCCAGTGGAACTTCTGTGCCTTGTTACAGGATGAGGTGCTTGTCATTGGATGAGGTGACCTGCTTGGGCTGAGTCACAGAGGGAGCCTCTGTCCTTGGAGAGACAGAGGAAACTGCAAGAGGTTAAACCTCCAAAATGAATGGGACACAAGCAACATGTTAAGCTCTAGAGCATATACATATCTGCAGGTATCTGACTTCCTTGGAGCCTCTTTTTCATACAGGTGGTAAGAATGCAGGTGTTTGGTATCCAATCCTAACGCACAGCTGTTGGGATCAACCAAAAATACATACGTGGAGGATTCCTTGCATTACTGCAGCTCCCAGACCTTGTTGCAAGTGTTGGGCTGGCTGACTGCATGCCTTCCTGAGAAGAGAGTGACTTTCTGGCTGGTTCAAGTGCCCCTTTTTGCACACTTGGCAGCGAGTCTCTGCTTGCTCGCTGGATGTGGAACAGTTGTGTCTCTCCCTGCTTTGAACAGAGGCACAGCATGGCCTTGTATCCCTATACAAAAGGCCCCAGCCTTACTGACTGTATGCCATCTCCAAGAGTAATACTATTCCAGACTGTCTGAGCAGTTGTGAGAAAGGTCCTGGTAGGAGCAGCTTTCAGAGTGTTAGTCCAACTGGATCCATCCTTTCCTGCCAGCATCTGATGTTGCAGGCAGACTTAAGAGCAGTTAACTGCAGAGAAGGATATTTCCTAAATGCTCCTAAAAGGGAAACCACCTAAAATTCCTGCCTGAAGATAGGAACAGGAACTAGGGAAGAACTTTTTGTAGATGAGAAGCAAGGTTATGGCCTACTCCTTAGAACAACTTTATTCTCCTTTTTCAGAAATTGTTCTGGGCTATATTATTAAAAGGTCCCTAGAACATGTAAATGAATACCAGGCACAGATGTGTCTGCAGCTTTTCTTTCAAAAGAGGAGCTGAATATTTGTGTGACCCAGCAGCTGAGAAGTTCTGGGGAATGTGATGGTAAACCCATCACTTCCAGTACCTCTTTGGGAAGGTTCAGGAAGAGATGGTGAAGCAAGAGTCACAGTGAAGGGGATAATGTTGTGCTCTAGTGACTCTGGCTATTAAAGTGCTATTCTCAAGCAGACTGGGTGGAAAAATCCCTTCTCCTTCAGCAGGACCAGAGCAGACAAGGCAGAGGCTATTCCTCCTGCACCTGTCCCAGTTCAAGGACAGGAGTAAGTCTGACGTGCCAGGTCTGTTTGTCCCAGAACACCGTAATCATTTACCATAAAACGCCAGCCAGCGACGCTTCCCTGAAACACATGCTGAATAAATATTTTTTTTTCTCCTTCGTCTATTTCTGTTAAAAGGTTCTTTTGATGAAAATACCATTGGTATGTTTGAAAAAAAACAACCCCTGAGTAGTTATTTACTGAGTCCTTAAATACACAGGCTCAGTAGTTGACTGCTGTGAATGCCTTGTCTGCAGTGGCAGTGCTGAAATGCCCCATCTCAGCCTGGAGGC